GAAACGAGGCACCGTTTCAAATGACGTGAATCGGTGCTCGGTCGGTACTGTGGAATTCAGTCTGTACCTTAAAAAGTACCGAATTCGGTACCCATCCCTAATTGTGAATGATTTGTTGTACTAAATTAGAATCTAGACCATCTTTTCACTTCATCTACTGGATGGCTTGGCAGGCTAATGTTGGACCTTTGCAGAAAATCGTGAATTGAACTGAAATCGTAATTTCTGCTAGAAAAATTGCAATTCAGGCTTTTCCTAAAATCGTGCAGCCCTGTGGGCTGGGGCTCATCTCTCAAACCATTAAACGGTTAAATGAGATCGAGTTTCTAGATGAGTAAAACTGGGTATGAGTAGAAATCCTCTCCGCGGTGTAACCTCAGTTTGATTCGTCGGCTTCTTTGCTCTACAGTCACTGACATCTAGATCTAATCACCCGAAGCTGCTCAAAAACGACCTTTTATCTGCGTTTCTATGTGTCTGGCGTGAAGCTGCTGCGTTTTCTGTGTTTTTATTTTAGCTTGAAACCGTTTGGAAACTCTCCAGTTTACACAACCCGCGGTGAAGGCGTCCCAAAATAATACTTCCAGTAATAGATGGTGTGGAGGAAGGAAATACAAGGAAGTGGTCTGTTTAACTATAGATGCTGATTCAGAGCAGAAACCCCACAGGGGTTTGTGCTTGTCTTGCCCACACCTGCACAGGTAAACCTGCATTGAACACCTGGAAATGCAGATCGTTTGCTTTGCATGCAGGCGTAAACAGAAAACGGTCCAAAGTTTCCCGTTCCACTGTTGCATGAAGGAATGAATTCCACTTATATTTATAAATAACGCCATCCTTCTTTCAGGAAATGTAATTAAAGCGAATTTAAAATGATGTCATTCAGTAATGCAGAAGATAACGGCTTTTTATGTGTTTTAAATGGCATTTTTCCATTAAAGTTACAGAAAAATACCTTAAATCATTTCTATTTTTATATTTAAATGTGAAACAAAAACACCAATTACTAAAAAATTCATTCCAGGCTGAAAGCATCCCATGAATATTTCTATTTGTGTCTGTGTCCAAGATCTTTGACGCTTTATTCCTGATTTCTGCAGATTTTGCATTTTGTTTTGAACTTTCTGTTGCAGAGTGTCTAGTTGTTTTAAAACTGCTGAACAATTTTTATTTCCTGCTCACAGGGGAAGTTATTAACACAACCTGTGACCTTTTTCTTGCTAAAAGTTGAGCTGAAACTTGCTTCTGTTCCCATTTCTCCGCAAAGCGGCGATCTGCAGCTGCTCATGAACGAAATGTCCTTTTCAAAAATATTTATAGATTCTGTATTTTCGTGCTTTTGCATGTTCGTCACCAGCTGCATGGTGTTTGTGCAGAACTTTAGTTTTTATTTTGGGGTTTCTGTTTAAAGAGCAAGTCACCCCCTACCAGAGTATTACTCAACTCCCACTTCCTGTTTGAAAAATGCAACAAATGCTGTTGACTAGCAGACCGAGAGGGCGGAGCCGCTAACAAATACACACACACACACACACACAGGCTCACAACGACATTGTGACATCATATGGTACCAGCTAATGTTCTAGAGTAACTCTTAGCCAATAGCGATGGCAGATTTAAATTCAAATGCAAATGGGCTGCATGGTGGCGCAGTTGTTAGCACTGTTGCCTCACAGCACGAAGGTTGCAGGTTTGAAACTCGGCTGTGGCCTTTCTGCGTGGAGTTGCGTGTTCTCCCCACGCATGCGTGGGTTTCCTCCGGGTACTCCGGTTTCCCCCCACAGATCACAATGTGCCCTATAGGTTATAAACTGTAAGTCGCTTTGGATAAAAGCATCTCCTAAATTAATAAACATAAACATAAACAAATGCAGTACTGTTTTTACCTGACAACGGCACAACACTGACAGTTTTAGGCAGAAAATTAAAATTTTAACTAAAATGCACTAAAGTGCAAAACTGTTGACTACACGTTTCTGCAGCACGATTAGACACACATTTATATAGTTGATCAGAAAAAACAAGTTGATTTGGGGGTGACTTGCTCTTTAATAATATTTATTTGGATTGACTTTGTTCCTTTTTGCTCTTTTTTTTTGACAAGATTTCACTAAACCACAGAAATGTGCATTTATGGCCTCATAATGGGTTAACTGTTGATTTACTATTGAAAGTTTGCATATGGAACAAATTCTAGGTTATTATGGGGTGGAATACAGCATGAATAAATGTAATCTATGTGAGATTTGATCCAGATTTCAGTTGATGTTTGTTACCAAAGGTTAAGGTGAGGATTTACAGTTGATGCCGTTTGAGGCAAAACTAATAATTAGAGAGAAAAGGACATTTGTGCATAATCATCTGCATTACCTGGGAAACAACAACATTTAACAGAAAGAAGGGTTTACACTCAATCGCAGGACTTTTCAGAGATTCAGGACTGCAGTTGTTGCTTCCCTTCGTGTTTGCTGGTTTGATTGTGTTTTTTGTGTCTTTGCAGCGATCAAGGAGAAATACGGCGACTGGAGGGAGTTCCTGATTCGTGACCTGACGGGTTCCAGAACGGCGCCGGCTAACCTGCTGGAAGGGGTGAGTCGGGTTGGGAGATAAAGGTTTGGGAACATCTGTTTTGCAGAAGTTTTCACCCTTTTGTGCAGTTATTTTTAATCACTTAGCACTAATTTGTTGGGTTATTTATTTTTGTTATTTTTAAAAAATATTTGCATTTGGTCGTCTTCTTTCATAAAACTATTTAGCTCCAAGGACCTCTCAAAAGGATCACTTTGCACTAGGGATGTGAATCGTAGAGCAACTCACGATTTGATTCGATTCCGATTCTTGGGGTGCCGATTCGATTCAGAATCGATTCTCGATTCTCAATTTAAATCGATTCACAATCAGCATTAACAAAGAGCGTCAGCTCCAGGATGAACTACTGTGTTGAACAAGTTAGTTAAAGCTATGGGACGTTTTTATTTGACTTTAAACTGGTCGTGCTCCAAAAATGCAGATTTACAAGGTAAACTAAAGTGATTCTAAAACTGTAAACAGAAACAATCTTTTGACCAAAAGGCAACATTTATTTTTGCTTACCTTGTAAAATATAACAAATCTGTAGTTACCTAACAGCAGCTTTGAAAGTAATACGGTCAAATACTTTTCAAGTATGTGTAGAAACAAGTTACATGAGTAATCCTGAGTACTCGTTTATCAACTTAGAAAATAAATATGAGAATATTTCAAATTTCTGAGTATGGAAAAAATGATATTCAAGCGCCCTCTTATCAGCAGATTCAAACATAAATCATCTAAATTTATGGGACCACAAAAGTAATCAGAGTACTGACTCTCCTAACAAAGACCTAAAAAGTGCATCTCAGACCCGTAACGTGCCAAACATTTGAGTTCTTGGAATCGATTCTGAGTTTTTTTAAATAAGAATCCCGATTCAGACTTGAATCGATTTTTTTCAGCACCTCTACTTTGCCCGTCTCCTCCCCCTTTTAATCCCAGTTGAACTCTTTTGTTCAATTTTTTTGTCCTTTTTTGATCAATAGGAGTAATCTTTTAGTTTTAATTTCCTTTTTCTGTCAAACGTCTCATATTTCTGAGTCTGTGATGATGACGGTGATCCGTATCGTCGTGTCTCAGGTGCTTTCAGAGCTAAACCCTCTGTGCGTTCCTTCCCTTCAGCCTCTCCGAGGTAAAAACACCGTGGACCTGATAGTGGAGGGCTCCTTCTTGGAGCTCCAGGATGCTTCCGAACCTTTCGTTTACTGGCCGGCTCGAGTTATTCGGAACATCGGAGGGAGACTCCTCCTGCGTCATGTCGGCCTAGGGGAGGAACACCAGACTAAGGACATCTGGCTGTTTTACCTGGACATTAGGCTCCGCCCCCTTGGCTGGGCCCAGGAGAACAGCCTCGCCTTAGAACCACCAACAGGTGAGCACCACGTCTGTTTTGGGTCTTTTTAGTTGGAACTTTTGTCCCCGTTTTCATCGTCTCTTCATGCACATTTAATGTTTCCCAGTTAGGAATTCTTATCTTGCACCTTTATTCCATAAAAACATAAAGAATGCTTTCTTTTTCTACTTTGTTATATTTTTGAGCAGAGACCTCCAAATAGTTAAAAATTATTTTGGTTTTTAGCACAAAAATCTGTAATTTTAACCAGTTCATAACCAATGATTGTCTAATACGGTTTTGTTTGTTATTTTAGTTTAAAGGGGCATTATGGAAGTGTGACAGCCAAAACATGTATAGAAATAATAAATGTCTTCTTCATACATTCTCCTGCAATGCCCTGGTCCTGTAGAATGAGCCCTGGCATTTTTACTGTGATTGCCTGTTTTTCTGTAAAATCACAGAAAAAGAGAGATGCTCGGGTCGAGCAGGCTGCTTCATGCGCGTTCACGCTCAGTCATCGCCCGTAGCATTTGCTATCCGTAGCTTTAGCAGCAGAGAGAGAGGCAGTGCCACTTTGTCGCTGTTCCTAACGCCTAGTGACAAAGCTAGCTACATTTCTGAGGACCCTTAGCTACTTTCTGTAGAACTTTCTTCTAGATATTTCCTGCTAATTAGCAACAAAATAGCCATTTTCACTCCGAACCGTTCTTTGTTTCAGCTGTCATCAAGGATATAAGAGCTACAGATACAAAGGACATCACTGGCGCTTTAGCTCTCCTAGTAAGATGTCGGACTCTCATTCAGAAGACCTGGGTTTGATTCTGGATGTGAACATAGTTTATTTAGAGTTTATTTTTTACATTAATGGTATATTTTTTACAGTAAGACGCCCAAATTTTTATTTGAGACTCGCCGAACGGCATTGAATTCACAGATAAAAAAGATGTGGGTTCAACTTTCATTTTGGAACAATTTTTCAAGCAAGGGAAGGGAATGATCTGAGCATGCAGGAGGACTGACCCATCATAAACCTTTGTCGCTGTGCTGAAGAGAAAGCTACAGAACCACATTATTTAATTAATTAGCTGCACGTTCTCCTGTCCTCTGTCCTCCGGGCCACCCACACACACACACACACACACACACACACACACACACACACACACACACACACACACACACACACACACACACACACACACAGGACTGTCTCAGCTGTTATTTTCATTAAGGAGTGTGCACGTACAGCATGCACGCCTCGTGCACGAGCCTACTATTGAAGCTGCCGTTACACTTTTGGCCTGAGGGGGCAATCGCGAGCATAAAAATTCTAAACTCCGTAAAGTCCCTTTAAATATTATTTGAAGTAATAAGGGATGAGGTCCGGCCCCAAGTGGAGGAGTTTAAGTATCTCGGGGTCTTGCTCACGAGTGAGGGAAAACTGGAGCGTGAGATCGATAGGTGGACTGGTGCTGCATCTGCAGTGATGCGGGCGTTGTACCGGTCTGTCGTGGTGAAGAGAGAGCTGAGTCAGAAGGCGGAGCTCTCGATTTACCGGTCGATCTACGTTCCTACCCTCACCTATGGTCATGAGCTTTGGGTAGTGACCGAAAGAAAGAGATCACGGATACAAGCGGCCGAAATTAGTTTACTCTGCAGAGTGGCTGGGCTCTCCCTTAGAGATAGGGCGAGAAGCTCGGTCATCCGGGAGGGGCTCGGAGTAGATCCGCTGCTCCTCCACATCGAGAAGAGCCAGTTGAGGTGGCTCGGGCATCTGGTCAGGATGCCTCCTGGACGCCTCCCTGGTGAGGGTTTCCGGGCACGTCCAACCGGGAGGAGACCTAAAGGTAGACCCAGGACACGGTGGAGGGACGATGTCTCTCACCTGGCCAGGGAACGCCTTGGGATTCCCCCGGAGGAGCTGGCCCAAGTGGCTGGGGAGAGGGAAGTCTGGGCCTCTCGACTTAGGCTGCTTCCCCCGTGACCCGACTCCGGATAAGCGGATGAAAATGGATGGATGGATATTATTATAAGCCTTTAATAGCCTTCATTTGTTAAATAATTTTTTTTAAAACAAAAGCCTTTTTTATTTTGCGTGTGAATTTTAAAGGGTTAACTTCACTTTACACCTCCTGCAGATCTCAGGTCTCTGCAGACCGCTGACGAGTGGCAGCGAGCTCTGGAGAACGCTCGACTCGACGGACAGAAGAATCCACTCCCATTGGAGGTTTTCAAGGTGGTCTATGAAGGAATTATCATGAGAATTTTCATTTCGAACATTTATTTCTGTTCATCTGGCCTGCTGAGCTCCATTAGAAACAGAAAAGCTAAATAACAAAACCCCTTTTCTCTGAGTTTAAAGTAAATGGCAGCTCTAAATCAGACAGAATTACAAAATAAGAGCATATATGAGCTTGTTCTTGATGGCGGACTTGACTAGGAGGAGTTTCCGTGTCTGTGTTGTGTTTTTCAGAGCAGCAAATCTTCCTCTTAAGCAGCTTCTTATGTAAGAAGTCCAATCTCCCACATCAACATGTAACAAGGAGCTGACTCTTTCGCTGTTCTCCTCAGTTTTGCCCACAAAGGGAGTGATTTCAACTCATGCATGAACTCCTCACGTACAAACAGAGCGCTGGATGATTTGTTTTCATGCCACTCTGCACAATTTACACAGCAGTGAGAAACAAACAGGCAGACAAATCAGGGGGAAGAGGCTTTTATTTTTTTAGAAAACAGGAAAAACTTTTTTTAAGGATGCAAGAGGTAATTACTCACTCAGAAATTACACTTTTTGTAAGAAATAAATACAAAAGAATGTCCCAGAGGATGTAAAAAATTCACCTCACTTTCTAAATGATCATTGAGTTGTCACCCATCCACCCAGCTGGGTTCATGGGACCTTAAAGTGCAGCTCATTAGTTTAACAGCTTTGTTTTGACTGTCAGGACCACGTGGACCTGCCCAAGCACTCCTTCAGGATGGGCATGAAGCTGGAGATGGTTTCTCCGTGGGAGCCGCTCCAGATTCGCCCCGTTTCTGTCACCAAGGTGAGTCACACCTCAGAAGCACGTCATCTACAGTCAACAAAAAGACGAATCAACGCAAGTTCGTTCTCCTGGATTCTGGAGAAAGTTAGTTTATCTTTTGTTTGTCTCTTTTAAAGAGCAAGTCACCCCGTACCAGATTCTAACTCCACTCCCACTTCCTGTTTGAAAAATGCAACAAATGCTGTTTCCTAGCAGACCGAGAGGGCGGAGCCGCTAACAAATACACACACACACAGGCTCACAACATTGTGACATTATAATGTACCAGCTAACGTTCTAGGGTACCTCTTAGCCAATAGCGGTGGCAGATTTAAATTCAAATGCAGTGCAGAGTTTTTACCTGACAACGGCACAACACTGACAGTTTTAGGCAGAATATTAAAATTTTTACTAAAATGCACTAAAGTGCAAAACTATTGACTACACGTGTCTGCAGCACGATTAGACACGCGTTTATATAGTTTATCAGAAAAAAATTGATGATTTGGGGGTGACTTGCTCTTTAAAGGGGCATTATGGAAGTGTGACAGCCAAAACATGTATAGAAATAATAAATGTCTTCTTCATACGTTCTCCTGCAACGCCCTGGTCCTGTAGAATGAGCCCTGGCATTTTTACTGTGATTGCCTGTTTTTCTGTAAAATCACAGAAAAAGAGAGATGCTCGGGTCGAGCAGGCTGCTTCATGCGCGTTCACGCTCAGGCATCGCCCGTAGCATTTGCTATCCGTAGCTTTAGCAGCAGAGAGAGAGGCAGTGCCACTTTGTCGCTGTTCCTAACGCCTAGTGACAAAGCTAGCTACATTTCTGAGGACCCTTAGCTACTTTCTGTAGAACTTTCTTCTAGATATTTCCTGCTAATTAGCAACAAAACAGCCATTTTCACTCCGAACCGTTCTTTGAACGTTGTTTCAGCTGTCATCAAGGATATAAAAGGTACAGATACAAAGGACGTCACTGGTGTGTAGCTCACCTAGTAAGATGTCGGACTCCCTGGGTTTGGTTCTGGATGTGACCATAGTTTATTTAGAGTTTCCTTTTTACATTAATGGTATATTTTTTTACAGTAAGATGCCCAATTTTTTATTTGAGACTCGCCGAACGGCATTGAATTCACAGATAAAAAAGATGTGGGTTCAACTTTCATTTTGGAACAATTTTTCAAGCAAGGGAAGGGAATGATCTGAGCATGCAGGAGGACTGACCCATCATAAACCTTTGTCGGCTGTGCTGAAGAGAAAGCTACATAACCACATTATTTAACTAAATAGCTGCACATTCTCCTGTCCTATGTCCCCCCCCCCCCCACACACACACACAAGGAACTGTCTCAGCTGTTATTTTCATTAAGGAGTGTGCACGTACAGCATGTGCGCCTTGTGCACGAGCCTACTATTGAAGCTGCCGTTACGCTTTTGGCCTGAGGGGGCAATCGCGAGCATAAAATTTTTAAACTCCATAAAGTCCCTTTAAGGCCAGATTCTTCCCATTTTTCCTCTAAAATTACATCCTGGACTCAGAACTAACTGCGGCTATTTCAGTTTAGTGTAAAAAGTTAGATGGAAAATCTTATTTCTGTTCAGTAAACTTATAAAAACCTTTTTGTTTGTAAAAGTTCAGGAAACATTTTCCGAGGTTTTGTTGTTTTTATTTGTTTGTTTGTGCTAACAGGTTTATTCCTGATTCCTGCTGCTTCCCCATCAGACGGCTCGTTCCTCATAAGCCTGGTGTTTTATTTTTTTGTCTCACCTCTAGACAAACACGTGCTCCAGGTCTCCGTTTCACTCCGTTAGTCTAAAAGATAAACGTTTTTCAGCAGCTTTCTTTCATGATTCCTTTGTAGGCTTGGAAAACGAGTCCTAAAGTGAAACTAAAACTGCAGAATTCCTCCGAGCGGCCTGAAGCTCTTAAGCTGTTTTTGCTTGTTTTAGTCACGTCAGAGGCTTCCTTTAGAAATGTTCTCTAGATGCAGCTCAGCAGGTTTGCAGCCGTGAAAGTTAATAACCTGTTCAGTCGAGGCAGCGATGCTTTACTTTTTTTATTTTTACTTCATTTTTGCAGAAAATAAACTGGAGACACAAATCTGCTTTTATTCGTCAGTCATTTATTAGTTTGTGGTTTGTTGATGCTGAAGATAAAATGTTGTTGCTACATCATTTCGGTTCGAGGAGCTGGTTTAAAACCAGTTTTACATGATAAACTTCTGTCATTTTAAAGCATGAAACATGAACCAAATACTGACCAAAGCCGTTTACAACCACAAAAATATCTTCATTATATTTAAATTCAGTTTATGTCATGTGTTCTAATTAAAAATGCCAAGAAATGTGTTATCTAGTGTAACTTCAGTTAAAGGTGTGGTTCACTTGTTGTGGTCTCTAGTAGGAGTGGATACCTTGTAAGTCGCGCTCAGGTGAAGCAAAGCTCCGGTGCACCATTTTCAGGAGCTAGAAGAGAGCCACATCACAGCTGAGATTCGGGCGACGGGATTTTGGAGTCTTATTTGCTGATATTTGGACATCTCTCCTCTGATTGGCTAACAGCAACGCGACTGTACCACTGACTCTGCATTGCAACATTGATGTTTTATCTCCACAAACAACACAAGCCTGGAGGAGTGTTGCTTTGTGGTGGAGTTGCTAATGCTAACGATTAAATTTAAATTTTCTACCTAAAACTGTCAGTGTTGTGCCGTTGTCAGGTAAAAACTCTGCACTGCATTTGAATTTAAATCTGCCATCGCTATTGGCTAAGAGGTAGAGCAGGAGTTCCCAGACTTATTTAGCCGTGCACCCTCTTCTATGTCCCGACCATGTCGACGCACCCCCCAGCCCCCACATCAGGGCATGGCTCTATATATATATATACATATATATATATATATATATATATATATATATATATATATGTATATGTAACCCAGAAGCTAGAACCTTAATGAGGTATTAACTAATTGGCTTACTAATATGATCCATCCTCAATTTAGATAAAATATAAAATATAAATTAAGGAAATTAACAATACTAATTAATAGATATCTAATTAACTAATAGATAATTTCATAATGAATTATTGGAAGGGTGAATAACTAAAATAACGAGTTTAATATTAAACATCGGTTAAAACAAGAATCTTGAACATCCCTAACAGAAACAGAAGAGGAAAGCTGTATACTATTGGTCCAGGTGGGAATCTGAAATTTCATTGGCTGAGAGAAATAAGTCCCGCCTCCGCGAAATAAAACCGTGCGACGCAGCTGAGCGAGAGGAGAGACAAACGGCTGTGCAGCACGCAGATACAGAAAGCAAAGACTGAGCGGTTAGAGAGAGAGAGAGAGAGAAAAAAAAAACAACGGTCGAGGCCGTGAAGAACCCTGATTTGGGTGCCGCATAGATAGAGGGAGAGGCGGACTTGACTCCTTCTAATAAGAGCTAGGAACTTGGAACCAACGCGGTGAGTAAAGAAAAAAGAAGAGAAAAAGCTAACGATGCAACTTAAAAAAAAAAAGGAAACTTAAATAGCTTATCAAATTAATTCCATTCTTATAGATTTGTGTGGAGACGACAGAGTGAACCAATCCTCTGTAGGAGGGAACCGTTGGAGCGCGTTGGTGAGTGAATGAGATTAAATTCAGTAAATTATTAAATTCAAAAAGCTAATTACAGCAACCGAGGTGACAGCAGTGGGCTGCTAGACGTTAGATCCCAGGAGTTAACATCTCAAACTACCAGTTAACGGTGGTAGGGCATATAGGAGTTAACGGCTCAAACCGCCAGTTAACGGCGGTACGGCATATGGGATTCCCAGGAGTTAACGGCTCAAACCGCCAGTTAATGGCGGTACGGCCTAGATGTACAAGGTCCTCAGGGGCGTTATAGCTAACGCCATAGAATTAGCAATGCGTCCCTTAACCAAACATTTAATAATAAAAAAAAATAGATAAATAAAAATAAATAAAAGCTAACTGATTAGGGAGGAATTATTTTACAAAGGTGGACCAAAGGACCAGAATTTATATTTTGTTTAATTTTGTTATAGAACATTTTATTTATTTATTTATTTATTTATTTATTTATTTATTTATTTATTTATTTATTTATTTATTTATTTATTTATTGTGTTACAGATATACAAGGTGTCACAATGCTGTATAGAAACACAACTAAATGTATCCTTGTTGTCATGAATGTATTTCTTGTTGAATAGTGTAGAGTAATAGAATCTAACTGAGCCTATTGAGCTGAACAATTGTTGTCATATGTAATTATATTTCCAGAGCTACTGAGAATTATTTTAATAGACAATCAAATTGATGTTATGTTAGTTGAACTGTGAACCCAAACATGATTGGCTATGCCAATAGAGTGAAGCATTTGTTTAAGTCTGTAAGACTTTATGCTGTGATGTGACGAGAAGGGTCGATGCCAACTCGCTAACAGTCCTGTTGTTTACAGGCTGGGTTTTTTTTTTTCTCCTTGGGTTTGATCCCGACTCCTATGATCACTCACTTGGAACGAGAACTGGATTTCTTCCTGACGAGGGAGATGGCGAGCCTTAACCACTGAACGAACCAGGACATCTCAAGTAACTGAAGAGCAGACTGCTCTCTTCTGTGAACAATCTCAACGGTGTGGTAGGAAAAAATCGCACCACCGGACTCTGACTTTCACCCCAAGCGTGGGGATTTGACTTGACGCCGGCTGACTTGTGACTCATATGATCAAATCTCATACCGACCAATTTACTATTGTCGATTGTTTTCATCTGTTTTTGTGTGTTATCTTTATGTGTTATATTTCCCATTATTATTAAAATTTAGTATATAAACCGTTTCATGCTATACCCGTGACTCCAGTCATTCTTAAACAACCTCCAATTCTCCCCGAACCTAATTATTGGCCCATTTGTTTATTTTTTCTTTTAATTATCTTATTGTATCCTGTAATCCGGTTACATAAAACTTGGCGAGCCAGCCAGGAGAATTGTAGAGTTGTTACCTTAG